TCACTTTGCTTTACAACATATTTTTTGAATCCCCTTGAATCCCATGGTTTCGTCTTTTTGTAAATTTCGCAATTTGACTGGTTGACTAATCCCGTAGTGATATTTGACTGGTCGATACAATGAGTGATCTGTGTAACGGAGAATGAAAATCATATCTATATTTGGACGGTTTCTCCTGCTGGTGCAGATGTATCAAAAATGAATGTTTTGCCTCGGAGCTCGAGCCACACTGGTCAAGTGATCACGTGACAGGTTAAAATGACCCGGGTCAAAATAGAATTTCCCAATTTTAAATATACAATACTAATATTAAAAGATTACAATTTATGTAATTATATCAAATTACAAATTTTTTTAAAAAATCTTTGTGAAGTACCGCTCAGAACTTTGAGGTTTGCAAATGATATGTTTAGTTTAGAGGATGAAGAGAGTTTACAGACACATTAGAAGATATTACTTTGACCGATTTATACATTGAAAAATAATCATAAAGAAAAAAAAAGCACTTGCAATGACACTTTGTGGGAACACTATTTATATTGTTGAATGGCCAACTTAACTCTGAATTTGGAAAGTGCAGCAAATGCTATTCGTAAGAACAATCAGACCTACTTGAATATTGACAAATCAACTTAGTTCGGGAATCTCAATGATATCATAAGTGTCATTCCTATATTACAATAAAATACCACATTGGATTACGCAAAGCAGTTCAATAAAATGGTTTATTAATCATTGATGTGAAAATGTGTTTACTATACTATATTTGATCCGATAAGAATTTTATATTATTTAATTAAAAGTAATTACGTTCAATTTGTTAAAAGGTTTTAGAACAGTTCCGATTTATGCATTAAAAGTAAATTTTTATATTCTAATTGCACTAAAAATACTAAAGATTTTATGAACTTTTATAACAATTTTTTGATAAATGCAAAACTTTACAATATATCGGGAATTATAGGTCTATGATTAAATAGGACATCTTAATCACATATCTGTCGGCAAGCAAGCATGCAATGGACCGGTGTATGGGTGGCACACGCAGGACATTCCATTCGACAACCTGGAAAAAATAAAAATAAAATCAGAATGTGTCATATATTATGAATTCATGCGTATTTGTCAAACTTGGTTAAGAATCTTAAATTACTTTGAGTAGGAGCTGCCGCAGCAGTGGTGGGATTTGACTCAGGCTCAGCTGGCGGAAACATAATAACGGTAGGAGTTGATTTATGTGGTTTATTTGGTCTAATTGGTCTTAGCTTCTTCTTGGACTTACATTTCCTGCGAGCATTGGTTTGGGCAATTAACACCAAAGCCACGACCAAAAAAACGAGAAAAACACGCACTCTAAATTTCTATATATATTTAAAAAAAATAAATGAATTTTTAAATTGAAAAATCTTTGTTCGAAAATTGAATATTTACCATTATGTGAATATATTATTTGAAAAAGTAATATTTTATGCTATATTATTTTGGAAATTTATGCACTTTTTTTTTTAAGAGGGTTAAAATATTGAATTTTTATACTTTTTACAAATTTATAAATAAACATCATATGGGGTCTTTGCCTTGAAAATCAAGTATGGGACATATGATTTACTATGTTCCGTAACTCGATTTTCAAGGCAA